TAGCTCATAGAGTTCCAACTGTTCTAGACAGTGACATGGTCATGGTCCTTTCCTATGGTATGTTCTTCTTCCTGCTTTTAGAAGAAGGATGTAGTTTGCCCTTAACAAAGAAAAAAAAGAAAGTTTTGAGCTTCTTATGAAATTATTTATGAGTTGTGTGTTTTATTTTCAGGGGAATTAGTTGAGTATGATGAGCCTTCAAAGCTTATGGAGACAAATTCATCCTTTTCTAGGCTTGTAGCTGAATATTGGTCAAGTTGCAGAAGAAAATAAAATTCGTCCAAGAAATTTTACAGTAGTTATGGAGTTATTATAAAATGTAGTAAATAAATTTGTAGACACTTGTAACCTGTGCTTCTGGAATCAAATTGCCCATTCAAGTACTCTGGAGATTGTTGGGTGCGTGAATTGGTATGCATCAATCCATTTGTTTAATGCTATTATGACTATTGTGAGATAACGTTGTGAATGAATCACTCCGAAGTTGGGAAAGGGAAGAATCATTCTGCATTGTAAACTTAATCATTAGTGAATGATTGATATATTTTGGAAGATCAAACGTGCAAAATGAAGAAAATTCTCAGTTGGAGGCTTTTGGGATATTTTGGGAAAATTTTTTTTATTAATGTTTTAGGTTTTTTTTTTTTTTTTTTGGTTATAATTGATGATGAGTTAAAAATATAAAAAGGATAATTCTTCATTTTTAAAATTTTTCTTTACTTATTTCAAGATTTAAATTTAAAATTTTTTATATAAAAATTTAAACTCAAACATCCTCTTTGAGACTTATGTTTTAAGTATTTTTACATTGATCCAAGATGCTATCAATCATGGGAAATTTGATGAACTAAAATCATTAGGAAATACAGTAGTCATTAAAGTATTAGAGTGGTGAGAAGAGTGTCAGGCCCATGAAGATTTAGATTAATCAAATATCAAATATAATTAATGAGGAGCGGTTTTGCCCACACTTGATTAATTCTTAAAATAGTTGATAATTAATAAAATAACTTACGTATATTATTTAGGGTCCGTTTGGTACAGTGGTTTTACGGTAACGGTTAACGATTTTATCTAAACCGCTAAATATAGGTGTTTAGTAAATTTATATATTTCGAAACCACTACAAATAAAATATTTGGTAAAATTTTTATTTAGCGATTTAAGACTAGCGGATAGTGATTAGGGTTCAAACCATTAGCAAATTGAAAAAGCTAGTTTATGTAACTTTTTGTACTAAATTGCCAGTGGATTAAAATTTTTTAATTTTATTGATAAATTTATCCATTTTAATTTTTTAATTTGTGGTTACATTTTTAATTAATAATTATCTAATAAATTTTAATTTTGTTTTTTTACCTTTAATAACATTAAGTGATTATAATATTTTTTTGTATATTAATTTATAATTACAAAATATATTATCTTAAAAAACAAAATTTGTTAATTAGACAAAATGATTAATTTTTTATTTAAAAATAATATAATTTTTTCTTTTTTAAAAAATCAAAATG